GATAGAATTTTGCACATTTCTACATTATAAAATTAAAAAATCACTCACTTTCGCACATTCAAAGTACACGGAAAAAAAAAGTTCCCAGATGTTTCAGGAATTATTTCCTAACTCTTGGATACGTGGTAACAGCTCTGAACTAGCAACGAACATTCAATGGTAATCAATGAATGTTTGAAAGAAATTCGGGAACTGTATTAGAAAAAGCTATAAATACACTGTAAAAAATTCTCATGTAAATTTACTACGTCCGACGTAGGAAAAGAAAATCACTACGTCAAGCGTGTAATTTTACAAATGGCTGATCATTTGACATAACCTGCATGTTATTTTACATGCTCAATGTTAAAATGGGTTGCTTCAAATAGCGTTCTGTTCAAAAACATGCCGCATGTAATTTAACTAATGCGTAATCTGTTAAATAATACTAATTGAAAACACTAAAATATATATACTAATAATAAAAACACAAAAAAGGCAAAATGTCGGTGTTGGCAGTTCACTTTATTTTGAGCATGTGCAAGCATCCATATAATATATTTAACTCCGCGCTAAAGGAAAAATACACGCGGCATGTAATCTTACATGCAATACAACGTAAATTTACGTATCCGTGGTAACTTTACATGACCATTGTAAATTCACAGAATAAAGTAAAAAAACAGACGAGTGTAATACAACATGCTGGACATAGTGATCAAATTTTCCTACGTCGGACGTAGTAAATTTACACAAAACTATTAAATTACATAGTCATATAAAGTAAAATTATTAAAAATAGTAAAACTACTTTGAAACTTAGTAAATTTACTACGTCCAGCCTATAATATTGCTGTGTAAAATTACATTCAGTATGTTTTAATACACCAGAATTTTTTACAGTGTAGTCCATTAGTCTCTTTTTCATTACTTTCTCATGTAAAGTTCATGGCGCTGGCCGCAACTGTTTCTGAAATTTTCGGGAACTCGTCAAGGAATCTTGGTGCGCAGAAACTGTGCGCACCAGTCTCAACAAGTCTCACCGTCAGTAAGACTTGCGTGCCTTATATATATTTACTTTATGCTGAGGTATTTAACTCGCCTGTTTAGCTCAGCTGGATAAGACGCCGGACTTCTATTCTCGGGTACGCGAGTTCTGTTCCAGCCGCCGTCAATTTTTCTCTAATATGGTTTTTTCTATTTCAGAAACTTAATAAAAAATAAAAATTGTATGTGACCTTCAAGGATAAATGTGTGTGTGTGCGGACGTGTCAAGGAGGGGAAGTGGGAGGGGGGAAGCAGAATCCATTTTTTCTTGCATTCGCCTAACTTTTCGATTTTCTTGAACAGTTCCCGACTTTTTCAAGAACAGTTTGCCGAGAAGTGGTGAAATAGTTATAATTTGTAGAGAAATAGTAAATGACATATTTCAACGAGGCAACCTTTAGTTATCTGTGTACTACCCGCCGTATCCAAGAGTTAAGAACGAAGTTTCCGAATAATCCTCGAACTTTTTTTTTCCGTGTATGTATATAAATTTTTAAATATTTACAAACTTTCTATAAAAATGTAATTAAAATGTGGTGACTTTAGACAATTCCTAGGTAAGTTTTAAAATCAATTTTTATTTATTATTTTGGTTATTTTTACATTGTAATCTTCTTATATAATTAAATTAGACCATTTTAAACAAATGTTATAGTACAAATTTTAAAAAAAATTGTACTATCTTATTTCCATGCTTTTCTACTAAATTTTCACGTTAGAAGTTATATTATTAATAATGTATTAATACTTAAATTTCTTATAGTTTTTGATTCTTTGATAGAAAGTAACTTTAATATTAAGAAACTTTTTAAATATTTACATCACATAAACAATAGGAAAATAGAATTAGGTTTGCCGCAAATAAATATTTAATCATTTTTATTTTTAATAATTTGAAAAATTTTAAATTGTTTAATTTAAAATTTAACAACTTATAAGAATATCTTCATGTAAGAATATCTTCAATGATAAAATCATTATTTTATATAATAAGAATATTGTTACTCTAAATTCTTAAGAAATTTTTTATCATTTCCATTTAATTATTATTTTCTAGAATTTCTAAATAAAATTCTTTTTCAAATCAATTATTTTTAATAATTTTTGAAAAAGTTCTTTGAGAATTTTCAAATCCATTTTTTAAAAATAAATTCACTTTTATGAAATTTGGATTATTCGGAATGTCTTTACAATTATTAATATATTAGAAAATAAATGCTTCAAATAATTTTAAAAAAAATTCAATTACATTTTTTCAAAAAAATTAATTCTAGAGAATTGTTACTTAAAACGATGAAAAATTCAGATTTTCAAAGATTTTAATTTGAAAAGAGATTTGAAACCTTTTCAAAATTCAATTATTTCTAAAAATTCATACTACAATGCTTTTAATATTCAATTATTATCTAAAATTTAAACTGAAATTCAATTTTAAATCAATTTTTATTAGAAAATTTTACGAGAATTCAATTATTTGAAAACAAAAATAAATAATTTATTGAATAATTGAATGTTTCTTAAACTTGAATTATCATAAAGAATTTTGTCAACAAATTCTTAAATAATTGAATTCTTTCGAAGAATTTCAATAACATTTTTAAGAATAATTACATTTTTCGAGGAATTCGATTAAAATTGTATTAAAAATAATTGAAATTTATAAAAGTAATTGAATTCCTATATTGAATTTTTATCAAAATTTTTTTTAAGTAACTGCATTAATTTTTGAAGATTTAATTTAACTAGAATATATTAACTAACTAATTTCGTGCTAAATTGTGAATCTTATTTATATTAGTACTTCGTGCGAATGGGCTTTTTGCCCGTATGCTTCAAAAATAAATAAATAAATATCGAAAATCCTTGAAATAAAAAAAATTTTTGAAAACAATTCAATTTTTGACAAGAATTTTATTTAAATTTAATAAAAAGAATTGAATTTCGGAAAAGAGTTTTATTATTTATAAAGATAATTTGAATCTTTACTAAAATTCATTTTTAAAGCAACTTTTATTATAAAATTCTACGAGAATTCAATTATTTAAATAAATAAATAAATAATTTTTTGAATAATTGAATATTTCTTAAAAACAAATTCTCATAAAGAATTTTATCAAAAAAATTAATAAATAATTGAATTATTTCGACAAATTTTAATTACATTTTTCGAGAAATTTAATTAGAATTATATTCAAAATAATTAAAATCCTGCGACGAATTTTATTATTTATGAAAATAATAGTTTTTTGGGAAAATTATATTGAAAATCATTGAATTGATGAAATTTTTTTAAGATAATTGAAATTTTGCCAAGAACTTTATTAAAATTTTTAAAAAATAATTGAATTTTGGAGAAGAATTTTATTACTTTTGAAAAGAATTGAATTTCTGCTGTCATTTGTAACTTCTCCAAAATTTAATTAATGTTTTTAGTGATTTTAACTAAAATTCTTCTATAAATCTATTATTTTTAATAATTAATTATATATATGGGGCATTCCACGCCAAGTCGGAAATCATTTTGCTTTTGCATCTCAAATTTTTTTAAACATTTTTTTTCTTTTAGTGCTCTTTGAAATGAGCTATCTTGATTTTTTTTCAAATTTTTTCATAAAGCGGTTCAGGAGATACAGATTTTTGAAAAATGACGTTTTTTACGTAAATTTTTTTTTAAATGCTTATAACTCGGTCAAAAATTGATCAAATTGGACGTTTTTATAATGAAAAGTTTTGTTTTCACGCGTAGTTTTAAATAAAAATATTTTTCAAAAAATTTTAAATAATTTACGATAAGATTTTCAAATTTTTAAAATAAAATTTCATTTTTAACAATGTATGTATCGATTAATTTTTTTCAAAATTTTTTGTAAGAAACTAGCACTAAATTAACCATTTTAAAGCCTTGTCCAATCGTGGGCAAACGATGGGATCTATTTATTTTAAAATTTTTAATTTTTATATACACAGTGAAAACGGTAGGTCTAACTTGTCATTTGACCAAATCACAATTTTACACAGAAAGAAGTAAAAGAAAAAAAATGTTTAAAAAAAATTTGAGATGCAAAAGCAAAATAATTTCCGATTTGGCCTGGAATGCTCCATATATTAATAAAAATTTTTAGAAAAAATATTAATTTTCAAGAAAAAATATTTAAAATATTTTATATCACATTAAAATTGAATCATTTTTAGAAAATTTTACAAAAAAAATATAAAATATTTTATAATATTGTATAAAATTGTATAAAAATAAATAAATATTTTTATTGTCAATTTTTTTCTAGAATATTTGTAATTTTTTCTATAAAAAACTAATACCTAATAACAATAATAATATTTTAATTATTTAAATGTTAATTAATTATTTTTCTAGTAGTCTACATTGTGTTGGATAAACCACCTTAAAATGTAGAAAATTCTTTACTTTATATTATTTAAAACACAAACGGCAAAAAATAATTTATATTGTGTGGTGTTAATAATCTAAATCAAAAATAAAACGCACTGAATTCTGAAATTGAGTCTAAATTTTATTACCACTTTAAATTATATTTTAAAAAAAAAGAAAAACTTCTTTATTTTTGATTAGAAAAAGGAAACAAATTACCAAAAAAAGGGGAAAAAGGTGACGAAATTGAAAAAAGGGGAATATTTAGTCATTGATACAGAGTATCAGATTTTTCTAAGAACAGATGAAATACCTATAATGCACTGACCCTAATAAAATAAATTTCTGCATTTTTAGATAATCAATTTTACTTGTTCTAAAAAGAGGAATTTAATTTCCGAATTTTGATGAACTCAAATAACTGAAATTAAAATCGGTTGATTGATTTAGTTAATGACACATTACAGCGGAAATGTGAATTTTTTTTAAATCACAAACTTTCTTTCAAGGTTTCTACTTATCGGATCGGCCAAAATCGGAGCAAGAAGGGAAACGAAACAATACTTTTTTTTGAGAAAGTAAATACCTTGCTTTTGACAGCGACAATGCCGTTGTCAAAGTGATGATGAGGTTTGCTCTTGGACATGTTTTGGAAATGTAAATTTACGATGAGAAATCAGCAAATGACGAAAATGAAATCCTCCAATATTTGTAAAGATTCGTTGTTACTTGAGAGTTCTTCTTGAAGCGCGATTGTTTTTTTTCGAAGCGACGTTATGATTCAAAACGTGCACATTTCTAGGAAGTGACTGTGGTGACTGTTAACATGTTTCGTGACGTCACAGACACCTGCTCGATGAAACGCCAGTTGGCTTAGTCCATAAAACCACCCTGTCTCGCCTTCTCTGGGAAAACTCGCGAAAACTCCCGAAAAGTTGCTCTCAGGTGAATGAGGTTAATGCAAAACACATAATAAAAGCACACCGCGCGATTCTTCAACTACGAGCTTTGCGCCCGTTTCGATACTTCACTGTGACATTTAGTTCGTTTTCGTAACCCGATTTTGGCAGTTCGTCACCGAACTCCATTGACGATCCACGATCTTATATTTACCATTGATTAAACTCTTGACTAGATCGTCCTCTTCTTATTGGAAAATCTAAAAATTCTAACTATACAGCGCCACGTACTACTGCCCAAGGTTCGAAAGTTAAGGTACTCTCTTAGCTCTGCTCACAAGCGCAATGAGAGTAAGAGAGAAAAAACATTATTTAATTTTTGAATTTTCTGACTCTCTTACTCTTATGTGTTACCATGACAACCTGCAGGCTGGCATAATAATACGGGAGCGGAGCGTTGGCCTTAAAAACAAAAGCAGAATTTCATGAAAAGTGAAAAGGATAGTGATATAGACTTTAAGCTAAGCTACGGATCCTATTGGAAAAAGGCCATTAAGGCCTTTCTCCAATAGGTTTTAAAAAGTGTGCGAATGACTGCGTTGCGTTGATTTTAGCATGTGTTGCTATAGCAACCGACGCAGACGCAGAGTTTTTAAAACCTATTGGAGAAAGGCCTTTATAAAGCCAACGCATGCCTATCTTATCTCTGCATAGTGCATGGAATTAAAAGTCGTATTGTGGTTAGGGCTTTAAAAATAAAATAAAAGTTGTCATTACAATTTACATTTTTAAAATAATATAATAAACACAATATAAACATTACGTTAATTAAATAAACATATATGTATATATAAATTCACATACAAACAAATTAGCTGGAAATTGTATCAATAACCTCTAGTTTTACATAAAGTTTTCTTATTTTTCACAAGTTAATCGCTATGTAACACATAACCTATTTATGGATTAATTTTTTATCAAATTTATCTTTTTTAACTTCTTGTTCAGTATTAAATTATAAATACAAACACAGTTATGAGAGATTTGAAAAAACTTAGCGATAAAACTCGTGAATACCGAGAAAGGTATAATCCGTGTTACACAGTACGTTCCTTTCTTAATTTTAACAATATTTCAGTAATTTTTTTAAATAAATATAATCAATAAACAAAAAAAAACTAAAGTTAATTTAATATAAAATGTCTTATTTTCATGACAGGAAGAACGTTTGTCTTATAAGTGTTTAGAAAAGAATAATTACGATAGAGAAATGTGCAATGAATATTTCTTAAACATTAAAATATGCAGAGAATTCTGGGTAAAGTTTATTTATTTATATATGCATTGTCCTTTATACATAATGTTTTGTCAAATTAATGCCTAATAATCTAAAAGTTATTCATTTATAGAGATCTTTTTATATTTTAAATTGCATTTTTGAAATACAATTGGGTTTTTATAAATTTTTCTGCGCAGAATTCCATGATTTACTTGATTTTTTAATGAACAAATTTCGAAAAATTGGCGTTTAACCCTTTTATCATGCCACTATTCAATTATTATTATTGCTTTCTTATGGAAGCATGGCTTACTGAAAATTTTCAAACTCGAATGATTTACTTTTCTTTACGACTTCTGAACTCAAATTCAAAAATCATATTTTTTTATAAAAAAGCAAAGTTTTCATGAAATGAACATAACAATTTCAACTTTAATTTTTCAACGGTTTTTAATTATTATTCGATGATTATTATATTTAAATAATCCTTTCAAAAAAATTACTAATGTTTAAAAATTGAAAAAACTATTCTCAAAATATATTACAGAAAATGGTAAAAATTTCCTGTATACATAAATATTTCATAGGAACCATTAGGTAGTTTTAATTACAATATAATTCGAATTTTATAAAGTACAATAATTAGGTATAGTATTGAACTGAATTTTATTCAACAAAATTTAATACAAATTTTTCATAAAATAGAATGTCTACTCAACAAAGTTTTTGTCAAATCGAATTCAAATTAACTAGAAGTTTCGCTTAATATAAAATTTTCATTTAACAGAATTTATATTTATCCAGGGTGGTCAGAATTTTCAGTTTATCAATTTCCCTGACATTAAAATTATTTCCCCCGACAAAATTCTTTTTACAGTAAAATATAAAAGTTTACGAATAAGTAAAATTTATGAATTATTTTAATTTCTAAAAATTATAATTATAACCTTACCTGAATTAAATTATTTTCTGGAATTTTCAAATAAACTTCATCTGTAAATCAATTTATTATTTTAAATAATTTTCCGAAAATTCTTCTAGAATTCAATTATTTAAATACAAAAACTCAATTTTTTATAATATTGTAACAGTCCATGTTTTCTTCTTAAGTTATTCAGGTATAATATTTTCAAAAAATTATAATAAAGAAATTCTTACAATTTATTAATTTTTTTCAAAAGTTTTTAAACAAAATTTTTTTAATTATATCCAATTGAAAAATGTTTAATCAATTGAAATTTGGTAAAATCTTTTACGAATATTTGAATTTTTGAAAAATAAAAGAAATAATCAAATTTTTGAAGAATTTTAGTTATAAAAATGGCCATGATTTCTCCGAAAGCTTAATAAGTCTATGAAAGTAAATTTTTATTTACTTTGTTCGAAGATAATTAAATCTTAAAAAAATTATGAAAAAACAATTCTAAGAATTACTTTTTAAAAATATTTTAAAGCAATTTTTCGAAAATAATTTAATTTCTTAAAAGAATTTTTTTATAATTTAAAATAACTAATTAATTTTTTGATGAATTTTAATGAAAAATTTTGAACATAATTTTTTTCTCCAAAATGTTAAAAATAATTTTAAAATATTATTTTTTTTTTGTATGTATTTGAATTTTCGGAAATATGCAATTGAAAATATTGAATTGTAAAAAAAATAGAAGCTAATTTTCATTAATTTTCATTTTTAAGTTTTACATTTAAAAATTTTTGATAATAAAATTATTTTCAAAATTTTGCAATTGAAATTTTTCAAAAATTGTAACAAAATACTTGAGAAAAATGAATTATTTTTAATTAAATTTTACAAAATTTCAATTATTCAAAAAGATTTTTATTATAGATATATTTAAAAAATTTAATTATCTTAAAAAATTATTCAAAATTAATTTTTGAAAAATATATGTTTATAGTTAGTTTTTGCAATATTAAAATTGAAACAAGTTGAATTTTATACTAAAAAATGTGGTATTTTGTTGCAATATTTAGAAGAAAAGTCTAAAAAGTCGCAATTTTTAAAAATAAGTAGATAAAAGTCTCAATTTTCTTAAATTTCCTTAAAAAAATTTTTGTTTTCTTTCATTTCCCAGAATTTACTGACAAAAATTTTGTTTTCCTGACATTTCCCTGACTTTACTGACATGTGGCCACCTTGTTATAGAATTTTTAACAAACCTATTTTATTCATAAGTTTTGAGAAATATGATATTATTTCCGTTCATTACTTATATAAAATAAAAAGATAAAAGTTGAAAAAATTATAAAAGTATCAAGAAACAAGAGTAAAAGTAAAGAGGTCCGAAAAGAGTTTTTTTTTAATTTTACGAAAACTAAAATTATAATTTTTTTACATAGTTATTTTTAAATTGACACGTTGAAAGTATAAATATTAGTTTCTGAATTATTTCAATAAATCTATTAGGATGGATAGAAATTAAAAATTTTTAATTTCTATCGAAGCTTTAAATCCTCTTTTGTCAACCTTTAAACATCGGAATATGTATTTTTTTGTATGGTTTAATAAAAATTCTCCCATAAGGAAGCAATAAGCAAACAATTAACATTTTCAGAATTTATTTAATTTTTTTCAGGACAACATAAGAAGAGAAAGGAGAATGAAAGGAGTTAGACCTGAACTTCCAACTGCGAGTGAACGAGAACAAATTAAAGAAGAGTTTCTACAAAATCAAAAAAAAAATATGAAAAAATAGCATAGCTTTTGTTAAATAATTTTCTTCGTTAGATAGAAATCAAGATTAGGATTTATTTTATGTTCAACAAAAATAAAACCAATGTTTTGGTAAAAATTAATTTTATGTATTCTTTATGTACATACATTTCACTTTTTCAATTTTTGTTTATTTGATAGATGTGCAAGTATTCTTAATTTACACACAATTCGTTAACTAGTTTGTACATATTTCGTAGTTGCAATTTTATTAAGTTTATTTGATAAATTATGCGATTCATTTGAAAATGCCGTTTGAAAATGTCACTGATGGACATAAACAATTCGTCTTCTCGAGATTTAAAAAGTACATAATTATAATTCTAAAAAGTACATTTTTGTTAAAAAATAATCAGGCAACTTCCGACATTTTGGTGACGCTTAAAAAATTTACACTAGTTAAATAAATGAGAGATAAGAAAGTCGAATGTTCTTAAGTCTATTGACTGGCCGCCGAGACTCTCACTTCAACTATTAATCAAAAAAAAATTAAACGAGCACGAATTTGAGGAATGGAACAGACACTAGTCATAATCCTTAAATATATTCGCGCTCGAATTCATTCAAATTCAAAAAAACATCATTTTCTCCCCATCCGCATTCTTTAAACAAAAATGCTTAATTCTTGTTAGTGATTAAATGAGAACAACAACAGGCATGACTAGAAACTGAAATATAAAATTTTACATTTCAGTTTACAAAAAAAAAAAAATTATCTCAATTTTCAAAAGAAAATTTCAAAAAATTAATTGACGACATCAGATCGTTGAGGAAATTATTCGCAACTGTCAACAGTCTCACGAGAATTCATTTATCGTCTTTCGAATGTGTCATTTTCTTTAATCTCTTCGTACGACTATCGGCAGTATCGAAGAAATAACATTTCGGCAATCAAACTAAAAAGAATAAGAAACCGGTAAAAAAACGTCTAACATTCTATTTGGGGACAATATATGTTAAAACCGAAAGGATTATACTACCAATATTTAAACACGAGTCAAAATTAATTCCTAATTAAATGTCATAGTGATGAAATAATCGACTAGAAAAAAGAAAAGAGCAAAACAAAAAAAGTTATTTAAAAAGTATTAAAAATTATTTTAAAAAAGAAAAATTAATGAGTCACGAGTATTTGAAATATTGTACATAAATAGATTTAAAATTCAAAATTTTAATGAATTAAGCGTTAATTGACGCTTAATTTATAATTAATTGGCTTATTTCAGATCTTTCCTCTTTCCCGACTCGCTTTTAATTTTCGCCTTCGATTTTAGCATATATTGTCGGCAAGCAATCAATCTGAATGATTTTTTATCGAGAACGTCTTAATTCGGAAGTGTCGGCACATTTGTCGAACCTGAGAAAAAAGAAAGGGATAAAATGTTATTGAAAATAAGTAAATGGTAGAAATAGGAAAGCTAATGAAAATACTTACCACACACGTTCCATAATGAATGTGAGCTATAAATGCAAGAGCAGATACCAAATACATGGATTGAAGATCTAAATTAGGCGAGATGAAGGAAACGACACATGCAACAGCAAGAGGAAACAGTACCCAAGGTAACACTTCACACCTGGTGTTACTCATTTGCGATACTATCAATCGACACTGTAAATAAAAGAAAAATAAATACTTAATAGATCTAAAAGATAGCTGAATATAATTTTAATTAACTTATTCTATTACTATTACTGGTTTTATTAACTAATAAGTGGACACAACATTTTGCTTAGATTTAAATTTAGAAACTTTTAAAATATTAAATATTTACATAGCAATTAGAGGTAAACAAATGCTCGAATTCTCGTTTATAGTGGGTGAATTGTTTGGAACTCGAAGTTTGAAGATTAGGTGACGCAGAGGAAAAAAAAGGTCGCGTAGCCTTTTTTTCTACAACTTTTATTTCCTTCTGACGTCATCTAATCTGTAAACTTAAATTTTCAACCCACAGGGTTGCCACAAAAAATTCATTTTCCTTTTCCCTGACTTTTCCTTGAATTCCAGACAAAATTTAATCGTAAATATGACCATGATTTCTCCGAAATTTTAATAAATCCAAAAAAGTACATTTTTATTTGCTTTATTCAAAGATAATTAAATCTTAAAAAATTATGATAAAAAAATTCTGAGAATTATGTAGTTTTTAAAAATATTTTAATGTAATTTTTCAAAAGCAATTGAATTTCTTAAATATTATATTAAAAAAAAAATTTTTTTGGTGAATTTTAATGAAATTATTTGAATGTGATTTTTTTCTCCAAAATGTAGATATGTATTTGAATTTTCGGAAATATGTAATTGAAAGTACTGAAAATACTAAATTTTTAAAAATTAGAAGCTAATTTTCATTTTTAAATTTAGGGGAAGGGCTTACAGGTTGCCACACCTAAGCTTTTTTCTCATAACTCATTAAAAAGAAAAATAATAATTTATATGAACATACCATCGGAAAGAGGACCTAAAAAGCTACAAATTTGAACCATAGATAATTTAAATTAGAAAAAAATAAAATTTTTACATCAATTTTTAAAAATGATGTAAAATCAACGTTTCGAAATTAAGGCTTGCAGGTTGACCCACCTTGAAAAATTCATAATAATATGGAACAACTCCAATAAATTTATTAAATTTCACTTACATTAAATGTTTCTGAACATAATAATTTTAATTTCAATTTTGTAAACAATTTAGGGTAAGTGCGGGTATAGTCGGACAGTACTAGTAGTCGGACACTTCCGTGTTTTTTGGCAAATAAATAATAATGCATTGTGATAGTTACTTTAAAAAGTATACTAGACGAATGTGTGAAGTTTATATTTTATTAAAATAGTGTTATTTTCGAAAATAATTAAACAAGAAATATTTTATTTAATGTTTTAAAAATCATGGTGTCCGACTATAGATACAACCATTTTCGAGTAGCGCGATGAGTGGCACAAAGTTTTGTTGATAATTACTCATAAATATTAAATCTTATAGGGTTTAAATATTATATTAATAACTTCTAATATGCTTTAATTCCATTTTCCAGCCGATAGCAATTAAAAAATTATCTATTTTACTTTATAAATCCAAAATATCTGACAGATGTCCGACTATAGAAACAAAGGGAAAAAGTGTCCGACTACTAAAGCATTCGTAATTTTTTATTAAAATGTTTATATTTTATTAAATACTCAACTATTTGTAACAAATTTATATGATTTTTAATCCTGAAGAACTCCTTTAATTAATAATGTGCTTATAAACACAGTAGATATTTGCTATTTCAAGAAAAAAAGCATAATTTAAGATTGTATCCTTGAGTGTCCGACTACTAGTGCATTTACCCTATTAATAAATAAAATTTTTTTTAAATAAAAAATATTTTTGAAAAATAAAAATTTTTTTATCAATTGAAAATCAAACGAAAAGCAAGATATGTGAAAAAAATGAATTTCGGAAATCGTGTAAATTTACTCCAAATTATCATTGCGGATTCGCATTTCGGACCTGCAAACCGTCAAGTGAGTCAACCTACTGCAATAAGCCTCCCAATTCAAGAACTCGCCCGACGCTCGGATGAACACTCTAACGCCAGTCAAACGTTAAGAAAAGTCACAAAAATTAAAATTTGAAATTTTGATTTTTTAGAAGCACTGCCTTGTAGGAAATTGAATAGCGCATCTTTTTTTCCTTTCAATTTTTTTCGTAGGATGAATATTGTCGGAAATAATGACGAAAAATGGTAAAATTTTGTTTTTCAAATTTCATTGCTTTTTAAAACATAAATCATCGTATCTTCGACAATTATTGTCGAATTGACTTCAAATTTGGTATGCAAGTCTATTTGGGTTCTGGGAAGACGATAAAATGATCAGAATGTAAAAATTTCCTAATTGTTCACTAATTTGTTAATGTAAATAAAGGCTTGTCAATTTTAGGTTAACTTACCTTCGTCGACAAAAAGTCTGCGGTGAACTTTCGAATTGAAAAAACTTCCAGTGAGACAGTTGTTTATTAGTATATAAGGAAGTTTTTTGGAAAATATTATATTGATTTAGTAAAAAATGTGGAAAATATTAAGGTTTAAAGACAGCGCGGAGAGCGCGACATCGAGTCGCGGCGTGCAAATATCACTAAACACCAACTTTATATGACGTCAGTTGTTGAATGTGTTCTTATTACCTCGGTTATTACTCAGTACTTTAAAAAAAGCATTAAATTTGTTTGACATTTAGGAAAATAATTAAACTTTGGAAAAGAATTTTGTTATTTATAAAGATAATCGGGATTTTTACAAAATTTTTTTTCAAATTTTGTACATAGTTGAATTTTATAAGAAGAATTTTATTACATATTTTTTTTTTTGAAAATAGTAGAATTTCTGCAATTATTTGTAATTTCTCCAAAATTGAATTTTTTTAGTGTTTTCAACAAAAATTTAAATTAGAAAGTTTTCAAATTCTATTATTTTTAAAATTGCTAATTTTATTTATAAAATGTAGTAAAAAGTTAGCCGCGCGAATTGTTGCTAGTTCTTTATTATTTATAGAATTTTTATGTTTGTTATAATGTTGAACATAGCGTTATAATTATATCCCAATAATTTATTTAATGCTTTTTTTTAAAGTACTGAGTAATAACCGAGGTAATAAGAACAAATTCAACAACTGACGTCCTATAAAGTTGGTGTTTAGTGATATTTGCACGCCGCGACTCGATGTCGCGCTCTCCGCGCTGTCTTTAAACCTTAATATTTTCCACATTTTTTACTAAATCAATCTAATATTTTCCAAAAAACTTCCTTATATACTAATAAACAAATGTCTCACTGGAAGTTTTTTCAATTCGAAAGTTCACCGCAGACTTTTTGTCGACGAAGGTAAGTTAACCTAAAATTGACAAGCCTTTATTTACATTAACAAATTAGTGAACAATTAGGAAATTTTTACATTCTGATCATTTTATCGTCTTCCCAGAACCCAAATAGACTTGCATACCAAATTTGAAGTCAATTCGACAATAATTGTCGAAGATACGATGATTTATGTTTTAAAAAGCAATGAAATTTGAAAAACAAAATTTTACCATTTTTCGTCATTATTTCCGACAATATTCATCCTACGAAAAAAATTGAAAGGAAAAAAAGATGCGCTATTCAATTTCCTACAAGGCAGTGCTTCTAAAAAATCAAAATTTCAAATTTTAATTTTTGTGACTTTTCTTAACGTTTGACTGGCGTTAGAGTGTTCATCCGAGCGTCGGGCGAGTTCTTGAATTGGGAGGCTCAATTTTGAACTATATTTTTAAATCGATGAAAAAAAATATTAATTCATGATATTTTAAAAATTCCTTTTTGATTATAAAAATTGATTAAAAAAGCAACTTATAAAAAAAATTTAACTTAAATTATCCATAAAAATATTTCATTTGTAAGCACTTGAAAAAGTCACATTTTAAATTTTCAATTTTTCCACAAGTCAATTTCAGAATTTGTTTAACAATAACATTTTTATTGCTTCTTTTTGCTCCAAAAGATCATAAAAAGTAATAACTAATCAAAAGTTGATTTTTAAAAATTTTAACAAAATACTGGAAAAAAATTAATTATTTTTAATTAAATTTTACAAAATAGCAATTATTCGAAATCTTTTTAATTGTATATTTCGAAAATTTAAATAGAAAAATAATTCAAAAATAATTTCTGAAAGATTTGTTTATAGTTATTTTTCGCACTACAAAAATCGAATTACATTTCATACTAAAAAAATGATATTTTCTTGCTATGTTTGGAAAAAAGTTGGAAAAGTCGCAATTTTTGAAAATAGTCGAAAAAATCTCAATTTTCTAAATTTCCCTGACAAAAAATTTTTTTTCGTGACATTTCCCTGACGTTACTGACAAAAATTTTGTTTACAACAAAATACCACAATTTTTAGTATAAAAGTGCAACTTATTTCGATTTTTATAGTGCGCAACATAACTATAAACAAATCTTTCTAAAATTATTTTTGAACCATTTTTTAAAATAGTTAAATTTTCCAAATATATCTACAATAAGAATCATTTTGAATAATTGAAATTTTGCAAAATTTAATTGAAAATAATTGTTTTTTTAAGTATTATTATTATAATTTTTAAAAATCAACGTTTAAAGAATTTTAATTGCAAATTTTGAAAATAATTGAATTATCAAAAATTTTAATGAAAAATCTTTAAATGTAAATTTAAAAATAAAAATTAATTAAATTTAGCTTCTAATTGTTTCAAATTCAATATTTTCACTATTTTCAATAACATATTTCCGAAAATTCAAATACATGGGCATATCTCTAGAAATTTTAAACTTTTACACGGAAAAAAATACTAGGCTAAAAACACATGAGCGTCTGTTGTGTATATTGCACGCACACTACCATGCGTGATTAGCTTGGAATCCATCCTATTTTCGCATGGTGCTGTGGCAAAAGTCACAAAAGCCATGCATTTTTAGTAAACTCCTGTGTGATATTTGCAAAATGGGCTCATGTAAAAATCGAACCAATAGACTCCATGCATTATTAGGCTGATTTTTTTTCCGTGTAGGTATTGGAAAACTTAATTTTTTTTTCAAGGCACATTCTTGAAATTAATTTTGTTGTCTTGTGTATTGATCAAATACATAGTAGAAAAAACCTAGCGATACTCATTTCTTCACATCGTTAACCCCCTCGTGTATGAGTTTAACCCAAAGAAAATGTTTCTAAATGCATAGATTTTTCATACAATTGGATTTTCACATCAATCGGTATCTTTGGGTTTTTGGGGTCGCTGATTACGAATATGATATTAGTTTTTTTAAATTCAAAATAGCGGATACAATATAGCGGATGAAAATTTAAAAAATAATTCAATTTGCACAGAAGTGGGTGTAAAGAGGTTTTTGGGGTCGCTGATTACGAATCTGAACTTAGTTTTTAAAAAATTTTAAAAGTGGTTTCAAAATGTCATATAAAAATTATTTATATTTTAAGTACGGTTTTTAAAATATTTTGGGATTAATTATAATTAAAAAGCAATAAAAGTAAATAAAAATAATTATTTTAATATTCTAAAAAATTTTCTAGTTTTATTTTATATTAAAAGTACAAACAGTATGACCAAAAATGAATAAAATTTAATTGACAGTTTTACTTCCCTTTCTTTATCTATAATTAATTATTTACATAAAATACATAATAATATCTGCATTAGGCAATCAAAACATTGTGACACATTACAAATAATATTACCATGGAAACTTAGAAAAAAAGAAGATTATAATTCTAAAAACAGAATAAAATTTAAATTTAAATAATAAATTAAATAAATAATTTAAAATTAAATTGAGCTTATAAAAATAAAATGAAATTTAAAATTGATTAATTTTTTTATTTTTAAAATTCTTTAACACTGTTAAAATTTCCACATTTTAAGTCCTATTACCTATAAAAACTTAGTAAAATTTTTTTTAACAATTCTTGAATTACATTCGAATCTTTATATAACGAGAAGTTCAAAAAACAAGTATCATGCAATTTTGTATTTAAATTTTTTTTTTAATTATTTCAAATTCGTAATCAGTAAAACAGGAAACCCTTAAATGTCAAAAGACATTAAAATCTGATAATTAAAAATTAAATTTTAATTTAAAAATTTCGTCCGCCATTTTAGATTTGCTATTTACAATTTTTTTAAACTAACTAACTTTTTCTAAACTAACTCGCAAACTTGCGAGTTTAATTAATGCTTTCTTTTTCCATGAAACAATGATTATGACAGTAGAAGCTCATATTCTTTCTTAGATATATACTTTTTATGAATAGAGGTTAACGATTTTTCTGTATACTTTTATAGTGTGCGAGAAGAGATTACAATGAGTTAAAAGTGATTAGAAGTCAAATTCAACATGTGCCCTTCAAAAATGTGGCTTTTTATTACGAGTTTCGTTTCTAAATTTAACTTTTAAAGTCACTGTTCTCCTAATGTTTAAGTGGCACATATTCCTGTAAGGGTTCAAATTACTTCTTATTGTGTAGACAATGTAACCCCGTTATATAGATACTTAAAAATCTTCGTTAAAAAAGTTATATCAAGTTAATTGCTAAATTGTCAAAATTTTAGAAAAGTTGTCTCACAAGTTTGAAAGTACACCATTTTTATCTTAATTGAGGCACATCATTGTCTCAATGATTTTTTGGTTCCTTATACTCCCCACTACATCTACTATAAGTCAATGCCACACACGAGAAACTGTCGATTTCGACACTTTTACTTACTTTTGTCGTTCCCTACCTAATTAAAATTATTCTTAAACACATAATATATTTAAAGAGCACAATTATTTATCAAATTAAGGTACTGCAAAATTGTTTTTATAATTTTTGAAATATAATAATAAGCGGAAACATAAAGTTTGAAAGTACTAGAGATATGCCCACGTATATAAAAAAAATAATAACATTTTAGAATTATCTTTAACATTTTGGAGAAAAAAAATCATTTTCAAAAGTTTTAATTAAAATTCATTAAAAATTAATTAATTTTTTAAATTATACAAAAAATTTTTTAAGATATTCAATTATTTTCGAAAAATTACATTAAAATATTTTTAAAAACTAATGCTTAGTATTGCTTTATCGTAATTAGGTTTTTTAAATTCAATTATCTTGGAAGAAAGTAAATAAAAATTCACTTTTTTAGACTTATTAAAATTTACTTATAATTAAAAATTCTTCAAAAATTTGATTATTTTTATTTATATTTTTCAAATATTCTATTATTTTTAATAGATTTTAACTAATTTCGATTGTTTGGAAAATTTTCAATTGTCTTTATAATTAATAAATTGTGTTTTAAAAACTATTTAAAAATAGTTTTAAAAAATTAATTGTATGAATTTCTTTATTATAATTTTTTGAAAATATTATACCTTAATAACTTTAGAAAAAACATTATTATAAAAAATTGAGTCTTTGTATTCAAATAATTGAATTCTAGAAGAACTTTCAGAAAATTATTTAAAATAATTGCGATTTAGAGATGAAGTTAAATTAAAAATTGTAGAATTGATTGACTTCAGGAAGGGTTATAATACGTATTAAAATTCACCACTTAACAGACACGATTAAATATTTAAAAAAATTTGAATAATAATTTAGTACTTACGCAGATATTAGAAAATATTGTTCCAATGGCAAAGAAAACAATTCTAGGATCCTGTTCTAAAATATTATTTGGAGAATGGATAATCCACATTGTTGCTGTGACGAAAAGAAAAACTAAAGGCACCAAAGGCCTCACGGCTTCCCAGAAACTTCTCATTTTTCCAGATTTATCTCTATATGACCTGTAATTATTAGAAATTATAATAAGATTTTATTCATAAAAATAAAATCAAAAGAAAAATTTATATGAAAGAATTGAAAGAATTAAAATTAAGACTTGTCGAGATGTCGCTAGTTAATCTATTACGTGTAAATACGTAGTGATACGTTTCACGACTAGCTACTCTCTAAATCTGAATTAGTAGAAAGTTACTAATGAAATGGTGAAAAGTCGTCCACCAAATGATTTAGTAATATATTACTAATTGATTAGTAGAATTCTACTAACAATTAGTAGAACTGTTTTATTAATAGTCGATAAAACAGTCTTACTAATTCATTTAGTGAAATGAGTGATTTTTAATTAGTGAATTTCTACTAAAATATTAGTAAAATTTTACTAAGAATTAGTAATATTCTACTAATTAAAAAGGGGAAAAGTCGTCCATGAAAACTACTAAAAATTAGTCAAATTTTACTATTTCTTAGTAGAATTCTACTAATTCAGATTTAGAGAGTACCATAGTTTCAGTTATAATATAGACTCTGTAATGATAACATCAAAGATACTTCTTAAATAAATTCTTTAAATAAAATATTTGTGTTTAAATATATAACTAATAAAACAACAAATATTACATGGCGCAGTCGTAAGAGCCTATGTAAAGTGTGATGAAGTATTTTAAATCTATAATAGATTAAGAAAAAATAATAAATTGTGTTCCACGAGGAGACGCCAACTATACAGTGTTGCCACATAATTCACAATGGCAGACGAGGAACAAAATCAAAATGTTGTTTTAGTGCATTCGAATAATCCACTAAACTTAAATCCACCGCCACCACTTTCTTTTGATGGGAACGTATCTGAAAATTGGAAAAAATGGAAAAAGAAACTTAAAATTTATATGGAAGCAACGGAATGCCTCGGAAAATCAGAAGACGCAAAGGTTGCCATTCTTCTTTATTCAATTGGAGAAGAAGCCCAGGAAGTGTATGAAACTTTCGACATTCCAGAAGATCGAGAAGACAAGTATAAAGCAGTTTTGGAAGCGTTCGATAAGCTTACTGCGTGCCGAAAAAGAACGAGAGTGTCAGTAGACATGTATTTTTCCAACGTGTTCAAAAGGATGGTGAAAGCATAGAAGAATTCGTCATTGAATTAAAACGTTTAAGTGTTGATTGTGAGTTCGGAAATCTTAAAGAAAGTCTCATTAAAGATCGTATAATAAGTGGTATTCAAAGTACTGTTCTCAAGGATCGCTTACTGAGAGAAGAAAATCTAAATTTGGAAAAGTGCATGCGTCTATGTAGAGCGTCAGAACTTGCATGTCAACAAGTACAAACGTTAAAGGATCCAAGTAGCAAGAACGTAGATGCAGTGAAATTCCAAAATCGAAATAAACATGAATTTCAAAAGAAAAATCAAGGAAACCAAAGAAGTCAACAGAAAGGCAGAGAAGCAGCCAGCACAAATAATGCCGAGTCGAGAAAATTCAACCAGTCATCGTCAACACAAGGATTTTCACAGCAGCGCCATCAATCGCAGTGTCAGGAACAGAAAACAAGTCGACAAGGAACCAAGCAGTGTTTTAGATGTGGATATCAACACCAACCGAAAAATTGTCCAGCGTATGGAAAAATGTGTAAAATATGTAAGAAATCGAATCATTTTGCGCAGGTTTGTAGAAGTAAACAAAATGTAAATGTAGTCGACGAACAGGTATGTACTGACATTAATACTGGTGAAAATTATTTTCTAGGAACAATAGGAATAGCGAGTTTAAATGTTGGTTAGGTTGAAAATGTTACATTCCTTGAAACTAATAAAAAAATTCCGTTTAAACTAGATACTGGTGCAGGATGTAACGTAATGAATTCTCGAGATTATAAAATAGTATGTCCTCAAATTCAAATTGAAAAATCAAACGCGAAATTAACAAATTATAATGGTACAAAGATCCCAATATTAGGTAAAATTAAAGTTTCTTGTAAAATTCTTGAAAATAAAATAGATCTTGAAATATTTATTGCAGATTGTGACAACACAAGTCCAATATTAGGACTAAAAAGTATAGAAAATCTTCAACTTTTGCACCGCGTTTCATTAGTAAAAGTACCGGAAAACAAAATTAACTTTGATTCAAAAATTACGGAAAGATTAAAAAAATAAAAAAAAATATAAAAATAAAAATAAAAACTTGTTTCAAGGAATAGGTAAACTTGATTATGTTTATGATTTTAAATTAAAACCTGATTATACCGAAAAAATTGAGCCGTGCAGAAAAGTTCCATTTAAAATCATGGGTGATTTTAAAAATTCTTTAGATAAAATGGAAAACAATGAAATTATTGCTAAAATTGAGGAGCCGACAGAATTTGTAAATGCGTATACAATTGTTAGAAAAGAAAATAAAGATTTGGTTATTGTTTTAGATCCGCAGCATCTTAACACTTGTCTTATGAGAGAACATTTTTCACTTCCGACTTTCGAGGAAATTGTTTCAAAAGTAAATAACGCAAAAATCTTTACAATTCTAGACGCTTCGAGAGCATTTTGGCAAATTGAATTATCAGAAAAAAGTTCCAAATTCACAACGTTTCAAACTCCTTTCGGTCGTTACAGATTTCTTAGAATGCCATACGGTATTAAAACTGGTCCGGAAATTTTTCATCGAGTTTATAAAGAAATTTTTAAAAATATTCCGAATTTAGAAATTTTTATCGATGATATGCTTCTCTGGGCAAAAGATGAAAATGAAATGGAACAAACATTAATAAAAGTGTTTAAAATCGCACGAGAAAAGGGAGTCAAATTCAATTTGGAAAAAAGTAAAATCGGAATCTCAAAAGTAAATTTTCTGAATTTATCAGAAATCACAGCACCTTTACGCGAATTAACGAAAAATAATGTTGAATTTTCATGGACGAAAAAACATACTGAATCTTTCGAAAAAATCAAAAAATGTTTAACGAATGCTCCGATATTGCATTATTATGATTCGAATTTACCTTGTACATTGAGTGTAGATGCTAGCAAATCGGGAGTAGGTGCAGTCCTTTTACAAAATGATAATCCAATCGCGTATGCGTCGAAAGCTTTTACTGTAACACAACAAGCGTGGGCACAAATTGAGAAAGAATTTTATGCAATTGTCATAGGATGCGAAAGATATCGACAATTTATCATAGGTAGAGAGATCAAAGTAGAAACTGATCACAAACCGTTAGTTTCAATAATGAAGAAACCACTAAATGATATTCCATTACGATTACAAAAAATGCGAATTAGATTACAACCATTTGATGTTAATTTAGAGTACAAACCGGGAAAAGAATTGTTAATAGCCGATACGTTATCACGCGCACATTTAGATGAAAGATCCGAAGATACAGACATAAATGCGACAATATTAAATGTACATTTAAATGAACATATGAGCGATAAAAGAAAACTAGAATTCATCGAAGAAACCAAAAAAGATGCAGAATTACAGTTAATAATTAAATTGATCAGAGAAGGTTGGCCTGAAAATCGAAAAAATGTACCGGACGAAGCCAAACCTTATCACGCGTTTAGAGAAAACTTATTCGAAAACGAAGGATTGTTATATAACAATAACCGAGTAGTTGTTCCTAAATCACTCCGAAAAACCATGTTGGAAAAACTACATTATTATCACTTAGGAAGCGAAAAAACCAAGAATAGAGCGCGAGAAATTCTCTATTGGCCTGGTATGGCAAAACAAATAGATGATAAAATTGTTAATTGCGAAACGTGTCAAAAATACCAAAAAAGTAATACGAGAGAGGAATTGATGCCAAGCCAAATTCCTACTTCATCGTGGCAAATAGTAGGCACAGATTTGTTTTATATAAATAAAAAAGCATTTATAATTGTAGTAGACTACCATTCGAAGTATATCGAATTTAATTTGTTAAACGACGAATCAAGTGAAACAACAATAAACCTACTAAAATCTTATTTTGCGAGATTCGGTATTCCAAAAGTAGTAAGATCTGATAATGGTCCACAATTTAGTAGCAAAAAATTCAAAGAATTTGCAAAAGATTGGAATTTTGAACATGTAACGTCGAGTCCGAGATATCCGCAAAGTAATGGTTTTGTAGAAAGACATGTCCAAACGGTTAAGAAAATTCTGAAAAAAGCAATGTACGACGGAAAAGATCCATTCCTAGGCCAGTCGGTGAGTGCAAAAAGTGCACATAAGTGCAACCTGAAAAGTCGAAGCAGTTTCTTGTAGTTTGAGGGCCCCAAATAAAAGCCCCATAGTTTGCACCACATTTCCGGTTGCGAAAAATGGTGTAAACAATCGCCAAAGTTCGAAAAACATGGTTTTTCGATAACTGTTGCTTCCGGTTAAATTTTAGGGGAAAAAGTTGTGATTGAAAGTTATAGAGCTTGGAAATAGCTTTCAAATGATTGGTCGCAAGTTAAAAAAGCTTAATTAGTTTAGTTGCAAATGAATTTAAACCATTAAAAATAGCACTTTTTTAATTGTTTAATAACTTTGTTAATAATTATCGAATTTGTTTCTAACTTCCCAGAAATATTCCCCTTGCGAGGCTGAATAAATCCCAAAAAAATTCAACTTGATCGGGTAAATAGTTTATGCATAATTCCATTTGTTAACTAAAAACATGTAATTTTTCAACGGAATTTCCCCACTTTTGGACCTGCGAATTTCGTTTTTTTTTCTTGGAGAGTACAGTTAAGGAGTCTAACTTTAGTTCCATTTAAATGGGAAATTGATTTTTTTTATTTAAGTGCATAGTAATAGACGTTAAAAAACGGTATGTTTTTTTGACATAAACAAATGGAATAACTCAGCCAATTTTCACTTTATCGATTTCGTGTCAAGGGCATTTGATTTTATTTGTTTTCACAAAACTTTTCCAAAAAAAAATCTGATCTAACTTCAAGAGGTGGAGAGTTAACTTTTTTTAAAAAAAAAATTCCTGACAAGTTAATTATTAATGTTTTTTATTGAAATTCGCACCACTTACAGTTTGATACATGTATTTTATGTAAAAAAATTAAACATAAGGTTTTGTGCATTTTTTAAAAATTTATAACAAGTAAAAGTAAATGTATCCATTTTTCAACCTCTGAACTGCGGAGTGGGGGTACCCGGAGGAGCGTGATTCTCGCCGCCACAACTGAATTCAGCCGTTCAAATTTGCAAAAATGGTCATAACTTCGTTAATTATTTACCGATTTTTATCTTTCTTTTTTTAATTTGATGTATTTTTTTACGCCGAATCCAAAAATGATTTTATATGTTTTCAAAATACAATATTTTTAATAATAAAAAAGAAAAAATTTTTAACAACAAATTTTTAATTATTATTTATCATATTTGACAAAAAATTCTTTTCGTACATATAATTCCATTGAATTTAAAATAATATTATGACATAATAAAATTAAAATTAATTATATATAAGCTTGTAGCATCAGGTTCACATATGCACGCCTGTTCAACTATTAATTAAACAATGCTACACACTTATAAGTAAATAATTTTATTTTTTTTATGTCATAATATTATTTTAAATTTAATGGAATTATATGTACGAAAAGAATTTTTTGTCAAATATGATAAATAATAATTAAAAATTTGTTGTTAAAAAAAATTTTCTTTTTTATTATTAAAAATATTGTATTTTGAAAACATATAAAATTATTTTTGGATTCAGCGTAAAAAAATACATCGAATTAAAAAAAGAAAGATAAAAATCGGTAAATAATTAACGAAGTTATGACCATTTTTGCAAATTTGAACAGCTGAATTCAGTTGCGGCGGCGAGAATCACGCTCCTCCGGGTACCCCCACTCCGCCGTTCAGAGGTTGAAAAATGGATACATTTACTTTTACTTGTTATAAATTTAAAAAAAATGCACAAAACCTTATGTTTAATTTTTTTACATAAAATACATGTATCAAACTGTAAGTGGTGCGAATTTCAATAAAAAACATTAATGATTAACTTGTCAGGAATTTTTTTTTAAAAAAAAGTTAACTCTCCACCTCTTGAAGTTAGATCGGATTTTTTTTTTGGAAAAGTTTTGTGAAAACAAATGAAATCAAATGCCCTTTACACGAAATCGATAAAGTGAAAATTGGCCGAGTTATTCCATTTGTTTATGTCAAAAAAACATACCCTTTTTTAACGTCTATTATTATGCACTTAAATAAAAAAAATCAATTTCCCATTTGAATGGAATTAAAGTTAGACTCCTTAACTGTACTCTCCAAAAAAAAAAAAAAATTCGCAGGTCCAAAAGTGGGGAAATTCCGTTGAAAAATTACATGTTTTTAGTTAACAAATGGAATTATGCATAAACTATTTACCCGATCAAGTTGAATTTTTTTGGGATTTATTCAGCTTTGCAAGGGGAATATTTCTGGGAAGTTAGAAACAAATTCGATAATTATTAACAAAGTTATTAAACAATTAAAAAAGTGCTATTTTTAATGGTTTAAATTCATTTGCAACTAAACTAATTAAGCTTTTTTAACTTGCGACCAATCATTTGAAAGCTATTTCCAAGCTCTATAACTTTCAATCACAACTTTTTCCCCTAAAATTTAACCGGAAGCAACAGTCATCGAAAAACCATGTTTTTCGAACTTTGGCGATTGTTTACACCATTTTTCGCAACCGGAAATGTGGTGCAAACTATGGGGCTTTTATTTGGGGCCCTCAAACTACAAGAAACTGCTTCGACTTTTCAGGTTGCACTTATGTGCACTTTTTGCACTCACCGACTGGCCTATCCTAGCGCTTTTGGAGTTAAGAAACACTCCAATTTCAAACAAAATTCCATCACCAAACAAAACATTAATCGGAAAAAATATTCGCGGAATATTTCCTGATTTTATAGAAAAATCGGATAATAAAAAGAATAATAAGTTAAATAAAGAACTCAAAAAGCGGCAGGAATATGGAAAGGCGTATTATGATAAAAAATCGAGAAATCTTTCACAATTAAAAATTAATGATAATGTTCGATTGCAACTTTCAGACAAAACTTGGCAAAAAGCTAAAGTTATAGATGTCACGAATAATCCGAGATCGTATAAAATAATTACTGAAACGGGAAAAATCTTTATACGAAATAGAAGGTTTCTAAAACTCGATCGCAAACAAAATTTTGTAATTAACCCAGAAATCTACTACGACAGTCCAGTTTCAAGTAATGTTACTCCTCGAGAAATTGTTAGAGAAAGAGCGGAAATTATCCCAAATGATCCAATGCCTCCGCCAGACAGAAATGTAAATCCAGACAATCAACGAAGAGCTTATGTACGAAAAAAAGTTACATTCGAAAACCGAACTACGAGAAGCGGTAGAAATGTAAAGCCTCCTGATTATTTAAATGACTACGTTGTAACTTAATCATTTTGTTTTATTTAAAAAAAAAAAAAAAATTAATTAACTAAATAAAAAAAAGGGAGATGTCGAGATGTCGCTAGTTAATCTATTACGTGTAAATACGTAGTGATACGTTTCACGACTAGCTACCATAGTTTCAGTTATAATATAGACTCTGTAATGATAACATCAAAGATACTTCTTAAATAAATTCTTTAAATAAAATATTTGTGTTTAAATATATAACTAATAAAACAACAAATATTACAAGACTTACTTATAAATGTTCCACAGAACTACTGGAACACTTGAACCTATGGCACTTACATATAAGAGTATTTCAATCAATTCACTAACAGAAATATCACCATATATTTGAATCTTCCACAATTTGTGACCAAAGATATATGTTACAAGAAAGAGTACAGTTGTCCCCTGAAACCAAATTATAATTATTTTATTAATAGGTAGCACTTTAAAATTACATGAAATTTTAAATCGTTTAAATGAGAACTACGTTTTTATAGGAATTAAACATCCCCAGGGTTCGGAACGTATATTTCTGTAGAAAACTCGAAGTTACGCGTAACTTCGGAAACCATAATATTCCTAAAATTTTTAATCGTTAAAAGGATAAAACTTCCAAAATGTACGTAACATTTCAAAAAAAAAACGTAATAAAAAAGTGAATTAATCATAGAAAGTACAATTGTGTTTGTCAACATTATAATTTTCGTGCAGCAAAAATAATTAATAGTTCAGTACATATTTTAGTTAGCATTTAATTAACTAATACGGGAAGGTTGAAAAAGAATATTGTTTTTTGTAATTATAGAATCATTCCTATACAAGATATAAAATTGTTACGCAAGTTTATGAAAATATTAATCATTCCCACACATAAATATGATTTAATCATAAATGTGCTACGAGATAGTTGCAAGCTTTCTGCATATCAATGAATCGCTGTACAGTTTAAATGATTACATAATCGTTAAATATATTGAAATATTTTATACTTATTTCCCATTTAGCGGCACGCACACTTTCTATTATTAGAGTCAAATTATTCACACGGAAAACGGTCAAGTGTCAATTGTGAAAAAAACATTTTATACCAACCAACATGGATGCGTCGTAACTCCAAGGCAAGAATAAAACTCCAGTATTATATTTTTCCCAATGACTCAGGTAAAAATTGAGGAAAACAGTCCAGAGAATAAAGTACATTCGCAGTGGATTAACACTGTGATCTGTTCTTCCAAATATTGAGAATGTACAAACTGCAATTGGCATTGTTGTCCAACTGTCCAATCCATGATCAAAGAGTTCACCCAATGGACCTGACGTTTGTGTTCGTCGCGCCTGTTTTCCGTCAATTCCATCTAAAATTGAAAATTAATTTTTATCGTAAACTAAAGTATAACCCTAATTAATTAGTATTAACCGTAATGAGAGTACAATATTTAATTATAGTTATAACGATATTACTTATTGAATATAAGAGAATTACAAAATATGACAAAAGTTGGACAGAGAAGTAAGGTCATTAACCTATTAACAATAAGTGGATATAAATTAGTGTCTAATAGCAATGCACGTTGCTCAGAATATTTAAAAATTTACCAATTTTTTAAAATGTTAGATATTTAGATATTTAAAACTTTCAATATAATTTTTACTGGTAATAATTTCATTTTATAATTTTCCAATTTTATAAAAAGTATTTTAAACTTTGTAAAACGTTATATTTTTTATATATATTTCAGGGCTCGAACCAGTAAAAGTATTTCAAAATACGGACTTTACAGACCAAAAATAAAAAATCACGGACCAATTACTGACAAAAATATAATCAGTCCGAGTCAAATAAGAGAACATTTTACTTCAAACTATAAATTAAATTTCTTCATGTTTATAATAATTAAAGATGGTCCAGTTATAAAATCATTATTTTATATTATGAGAATATTGTACTTCTTCAAAACTATTTTCATAATTTCAATTCAATTATTATTTTCAAGAATTTTTAACTAAAATTCTTCTTTAAATCAATTATTATTAATAATTTTCGAAAAAGTTCTTTGACAATTTTCAAATCTATTTATTTACAAATATTCAATTTTACAAAATTTCAATTATTCATAAATTCTTCAATTAAATATATATTAGAAAATAAAAACTTCAAATAATTTAAAAAAAAAATAATTTCAACATTCAATTATTATTTCTTAAAATTCACGCTATAGGTATTGCTTTTAATATTAAATTATTATCTAAAATTTAAACTGAAATTCATTTTTAAATTAATTTTTATTAGAAAATTCTACGAGAATTCAATTATTTAAATACAAATAAAATGCAAATAAATAATTTATTGAATAATTGAATGTTTCTTAATATTGAATTCTCATAAAGAATTTTATCAACTTTAAATAATTAAATTCTTTGGACGAATTTTAATAAAATTTTTAAGAATAATTACAATTTTTTATTATTTATGAAAATAATTGAATTTCTGCAATAATTTGTAACTTCTCCAAAATTAAATTTTTTAAAATGTTTTATTAACTACATTTTTTCTTTGAATAAATTATTTATAATAACTTTTGAAAAATTTCTTTGAGAATTTTCAAATTCATTTGTTTACAATATTTCAATTATTCGGATATTTTTCAATTAAATATATATTTTGGGAAATTTTATTAAAATAATAAATATTGAAAATCAATAGGAAAATTTTTGAAATTAATTGAAATTTGACCAAGAATTGTATTAAAATTTTTGAGCGTAATTGAATTTCTGCAAAGAATTTTATTACTTTTGAAAATAATTGAATTTCTACAATAATTTGTAATTGATATTTATGAATAATTGTTAATATTTATTATAAAAAAATTTTAATACATTGTTAGTTTCTGATAAGGACGGCAGTGCCCTTGAAACGTAAAAAGATAAAATTTTATTGATAATAATAAAAAATATTATTTATCAACCTACCAAGAGTATGTGCTACAAAAATATTGAAGGCCGCCGCAGCAAAAACCCATCTTGGAATTAGTGGATATGCAGGTTGATCATCACTCGATGCATAGAGGTAGTAATCGTAAATGGCAAACAAGACGAAATTCAAAGCAGTAAACAGAAAACCAAAGAATGTTAAGACATTTGGAGCAACCCATCTTGGACAGAACTAAAACAACATGTATAACATTAAAAAATAATCAATCCATGTTTATTAAATAAAACAACAAGAATGTCAGTGCATTCTTTTTAATTTTATAATTCACATTAAACTTTATATAAAAAATATTTTAAATATTATTAATTATTTTGATAAACGGTTCCTTCCCCAAATTAAGTTTAACTTTGCCAAAAGGGGAACATTTTACTATTTGCCATAAGTTTGCTACAGACTTGCAGAAAAAAACTTTGCATTGCAAACTTGCTAAAAAAATGTTGTGCTACCTGGACACGTGTCAGATATATTATTTTTGTAAATTGATAATTATAAAATATATATTTACGTAAAGCAAAAATTGTTCAAAACTTTTGTTCAAATTCGTATTTTTTCATTCAGTAATATTTTAAGGGGACAGTACACCCTAAAATAAAAGACATTCGTCTAGTCACAATAAGATTTTCTGTAAAACTTTCAATATTTTTTGTTCAATTTTTTAAAAACTTTCCTATAGTTACAGGGCGCGAACTAAAGTACAACAATAAACGGCCCAAAAATGGAAAACAATTTTAATTTTTGAATTTTGCAAAGTTCTACCTTGTAGGAAATGATAAGGCTCATCTTTTTTTTCTTTGTCATTTTTTCGACGACAATACTATAAAAAATTAAAAAATCGTTAATTGTTTAATAATTTTTTTATCAAGATGAAATCTAAATGCTTTTATGTTAGTTTGTAGGCTTAATCACGGCAACATCTCATTTCTTAATAGACTCAACAGAGAAACAAATTTATTATTTAAATATATTACTTCATTTTTATGATCACACTTGTAAGATTCACTACAACATTGTTTAGACCTATATCGCTGGCTGTAATTTTTAAGGCGCCAACCTTGATATTGTATCTTTCTTTATATGTTACAATTGTAATGTACGCAAGGGGCTGTCTCGATAATTTTCAAATAAATAAATAAACAATACTATTAAAAATATTTTATAAATATTCAATTTATTTCGTTTCATTTTTTTTTAAATTGTTTTTTTTATAAATATGCAAAGTTAAAGTACTCGCTCGCTAACTACGCTTTCTTAAATTTTCCGTATCTGACAAAATTGTTATTGAATTTATTTTATATTTCACTAGCTAATCTAGTGAAATACAAGTTTATTTTAAATGAAACATATCTCAATAAGAATTTTTAATACTTCATTTTAACATATTGCTTCTCTCCGGTATAATGTTTATCATTAAAACAATAAATATTCGTTATCGACAACTATTTTAAAATTTAAAAATAAATAATTACACAGGTCAACAAAAAAAGACTTACTTTTTTTATGAGATATCGGAATGGTTTCCGATGTATTTTTGGACGCTGAACACGATCCCGACTTCCAAAATTGCCCATCACGTCAGGATTTTGAGAAAAGTGAGGGTAAAGACCCCAAAAACGCTTTTTTGAGGTTTTTCAACATTCTTTTTCTCTTTAACCTAACGTGTTAGAGACTTCCACATGGTCTTAAATTAAAGCTTGTAATGTACACTACAAGACCCATATCCATAAAATAAAAAAAAAAAAATTTTTTTTCAAAAAATGGGGTTGAAGACACCATAAATGTGTGTTTTTGGATTGCTTTAATAGACTTCTTGCAATTGCTTGGATTCGCTTGAAAATGATTACGTCTGCCATCTTGGTTCCGCCATTTTGAATTTTTGAAAACTAATATCAGATTTGTAATCAGCGACCCCAAAAACCCTAAGCAACCATTTTCAAGCGAATCCAAGCAATTGCAAGAAGTCTATTAAAGCAATCCAAAAACACACATTTTTGGTGTCTTCAACCCCATTTTTTTAAAAAAAAATTTTATTTTTTTTTATTTTATGGATATGGGACTTGTAGTGTACATTACAAGCTTTAATTTAAGACCATGTGGAAGTCTCTAACACGTTAGGTTAAAGAGAAAAAGAATGTTGAAAAACCTCAAAAAAGCGTTTTTGGGGTCTTTACCCTCACTTTTCTCAAAATCCTGACGTGATGGGCAATTTTGGAAGTCGGGATCGTGTTCAGCGTCCAAAAATACATCGGAAACCATTCCGATATCTCATAAAAAAAGTAAGTCTTTTTTCGTTGACCTGTGTTATTTTAAATGTAGGTATTATCAGGGTGTCTACTATTTTCGTTCAAATAAATTCCTGGTTTTTCCCGGTTTTTCTTCTCATCAAATTTAAATTATTTGATTTCGAACATAAATAAATCTACAAATGGCTTCACAAATTTTTATTAGACTTTTTATGAATAATTAAATTCTTTTGACGAGTTTCTTTAAATTTTTTGAAAATGGTTTTTTAATAATAATTTTAATTAAAAATTGAATTTCTGCAAAGAATTTTACTATTTATAAAAGTATGTAATTAAATCCTTCTAGAGAATGTTATTTATAAAAATAATTTAATTCTTGTGAAGAATTTTATTAAAATTTGTGTAAATAATAAACAGTAGTATAATTAATTATGTTTTTAATAAGTAATAAAAATTTAATTTGCTCACGAAATAAATAAATATCAATTATTTGAATATTCAGAAATTTAAGAGAAGTTCAATAATTATAATTATATTGAAATAATAATATAATTTCTAAAAGCAAAAAATTGATTTAAAACTTTAAAAGGGACTTTATATTTTAAAAATGAAATTATAATTTAACTTTCCTTAATTATTTTGGAAAAGCTTAAATAAAATTTTTTAAAAGAATTTAATTATTTTTAATAGAATGTAAAGAAATTTCAAAAATTTTCAATTATTTGTTTATAAAAATTCAATTATCTTGAAACAATAAAATTGAAAAATTTCAAAAATCTTATGTTTCAGAATTTTCAAAAAAACTTTGCAAAAATTCAATTTTATTAAAAAATTTTAAGTCTGTTTTTTTAAATTAACTAATAAAAAATTTAATTATTAATCTTCGCACTAAGAAACATGAATACATTAGAATGTGACTCTTTGTAAAATTCAATTATTTATCAATTATTAGATAAATTAAAATACTTTGAAAATTCAATTTGTTAAAAAGTTTTTAATGAAATTCTTTAACAAATTTAATTATTTTCAGTTAAATTTCACAAAATTTCTATTAATTCGATAATTCTTTTTTAATTTATTTACATACTATATTTGAATCAGTGACTGATTTTTTACTATCAAATTAATTATTTTTAACTAATTCAAATTTAGAGAACAGTATAAATATCTATAAAAATTGAAATGAAAAGCGATTTTTTAAAAACAAATTAAAATAATAAATCTTTTTTTAATTTGGTGAAAAAATTCACAGTTTGGCATAAGATTCCTTGCTTATTCCCGGTTAAATTAAAATCCCGACTATTTCCCGGTTAATAGACACCCTGATTATAAAATAAGTTTTTAAGTAAAAATTATTTTAAATAGAGAAAAATTTTATTGAAATCAAATATAATTAATTTGATTCAAAGAAAAGTATATATGACGGGTTCCACGTTAAGTGACCCAGGTCAAAATTTTAAATGTTTGCGATCGGGTAAAAATTTTGCAGAAACAGTAGTCCTATTAGATACAATTAAAAATACCAAATATTATTAATTTATTTAAACAAATATAAAAACTGGAGGGGGTCAAAGTTTAAATTTTTGGTCTAACATGGAATATTTGAAAAATTTGTAGTTTCTTTAAAACAAAACGAAAATACGTTTTCTATTTTGGGTTTTTCTGCTGTTTTTCAACACTTTCTAATGGTGTAAACAAATGTAGAGAAAAAAAATGTTTGACCTTGAAAAATTAAATTAAAAAATAAAATTTCATTTTTTCATCAAATGGACAGTTTTTATTTAAAAAAAAAAATTTTTATCATAAAGGTGAGGTTTTTTCCTAAAAAAAATGTATAGGGCAAAACGTGGGACAAGAACTTTTAACTGGTCAAAATAAACATTTACTTCTGCAATCCACCGCCCCTGCTCGTTGTTGGGCTATATATTGTTTATAACAATTGAAATAAATTATTTTATGCTTTATTAATTATCTGGTGGTCATATTGGATGAATTTAAATTTATTTAGATCATGTGCATCAACGGAATAAGAAAATAAACCTCCTTTTTTAAAAAAGTGTATTAATTTGTTAACTTTGATTTAAAAAAAATTATAAATAATTAAAATCTCCAAAATCGGCCTCGAAGGATGTCTTAAGAATTTATTCCCCTTTAATTTAAGACAAAGAACACTCAAATCGGTTAAAAATTGTAAGCTATAGACATTTTTTAATAGTAAATTGTAAAAAAATTCCACTGTGGGACGGTGCACGGCAGAAGTAAATGCTTAATTTGACCAGTTAAAAGTTCTTGTCCCACGTTTTGACCTATACATTTTTTTTAGGAAAAAACCTCACCTTTATGATAAAATTTTTTTAAAAAAAATAAAAACTGCCCATTTGATAAAAAAATGAAATTTTATTTTTTAATTTAATTTTTCAAGGTCAAACAATTTTTTTTCTCTACATTTGTTCACACTATTAGAAAGTGTTGAAAAACAGCAGCAAAACCCAAAATAGAAAACGTATTTTCGTTTTGTTTTACAGAAACTACAAATTTTTCAAATATTCCATGTAAATTTTTGACCTGGGTCACTTGACATGGAACCCGTCATATGTGACCTGGAGTATGAAAAGGGACCTTACGTGTCAAAAAATCATTTTTTACTTTTTTGTTGATTCGGATAGAGTTTGAAACGCTCTTTAAGATGGTGAAAACCAAAAAATCATAAGTTGATACGAAAAAACTGATTTTTTGTTATTATACAAATTAAAATAACGAAGACGATAATTTTTTATTATTTAGAAAAGTTGACAGTTTCTTTGACAACTGTCAACAGTTAAAATTCAAATTTGATATCATATTCATAATCAGCGACCTCAAAAAACTTATTACTGTCTTTTTTTACAAAAAACGATCACTTTTTAGAGAAGTTGACAGCTGTCAACTGTC